CTGGCTACCGCGCTCTCCTTCAGCTTCAACTTCCCCAGTTCTGCCTCCGGTGTCCTCTGTGACACGGAGCTCATGTGCAAGCGTGATGCGCGCATAGGCTCCCACGCCATCGACCTAACAAAGAACAAGATCAAAGGCAACTTCTTCGTCGTCGGCCGGGCTTCTTATCGAATGCGCTATTGGTGCCACTCCGGGACAACGCCACTGGCGAGGTGGCTAGCTTCTCCAACTTCACATTCCAGTTCAGCCTGAAAAATGAGACGGACGAGAGGCTTAGAGCATCTCCAGCCGTTGGCACCCCCAAGAACATCATCGAACCGAAAAAGTTGGTGTCTTGGGGGTCATCCGGCGAAATAAAGAGGGCATCTTCCTAGTCACACCCCATCCCAAGCAAAAGTTTGTGAGGAGAATGATTAAGTGGGCCAAGAAAAAGGACATGTGGTGAGACATGATTCGCCGAAACTTGTGCCGGCGCCCCCAAGAGACCCCCAGCGCGCCGGGTTTCGCCTGGGTATGCCGGCGCTACTTTAACATCCTGGGGGCGTTGGGGACGTGGCTGGGCCGTTTTTCGCGAAAAATGCCGTCCGAACCTAAAACCGAGCCTAAAAAGGTGTCCTGAGGGGCGTCCTGGGGAGGCTAGTGGAGATGCTCTTAGTCTCTGTAACTTAAGCTTCACACTCAACGACATGCTGGTCGCTTGACTCCAGATGGACAGTGATGAGTCGGTTTATAATGTAAACACGTCCGTGGACATAAAACGGAATTGCCCCAGAAAGTTTCAGTCGGCTCCGCTGCATCAACTGGCATGTGCTTCGAGTTGCATGAAGTGTTGTCTTGGTCGTTTAGCTCCACTCTAGATGATGTCACGATGGCTACAAGTGCCCATGCTAGTGCCTTCCACAGTAGTAGCATTTCTCGTGTTGCTCTACGTCGTTGCCATTGTAATCCATCCGCGACGCGTGTGGGAGAGGTTAGATGATTCCGACGATGAAGAACGTGAGCAAGCTGAGTTCGAGAGAGGAGTAGGCCGAAGGTACCGCTACCGTGAGCTGGCCGCTGCCACCAAGGACTTTGCAGAGGAGGGGAAGCTCGGGCGAGGGGGCTTCGGTAATGTCTACCGAGGCGACAACCTTAGTGACCATGACCGCCTGGTGGCCATCAAGAAGTTGTCTGCAGAATCATCTTCGCAGGGGAGGATAGAATTCGAGTCAAAGGTGAAGATCATAAGTCGGCTGAGGTACCGGAACCTTGTGCACTTGCTAGGCTAGTCCGACAGCCGCAAGGGGCTCCTGCTCATCTACGAGCTCGTTCCTGAAAGCACCCTCGAGCGACACATATACAGCACTAGTCGTGTCCTCACGTGGTCACAGATGTACAAGATCATCCTTGGTCTAGGATCTGCACTACGCTATCTCCACACAGAGTGGGATCAATGTGTGCTGCATGGCGACATCAAACCCAGCAACATACTACTTGACTCGTTATGCAATACCAAGCTCGTGGATTTCAGGCTGGCGAGGCTCGTGGAGCATGGTGCAGGGCCACGAACCACCAAGGTCATCTGGGCACCGCGGGGTACATAGACCCGGAGTTCATCCGCACCCGTCGGCCAAGCACCGAAGCCGATGTCTACAACTTTGGTATTGTCCAGTTGGAGGTCGTGTCCGTTCGGCACCCAGACATGGAAATAGAGCAATCAGGCGACAAATTCATTCCATTACTCAGGTGGATCTGGGATCTGTACGAGAAGGGAGCCATTGTTGAAGCGGTGGATGAGAAGCTAAAGGGAGTAAACTGGCAGCAGTTGCTCGATGATGACGGCAAGTATAAGTGGCATATGCACCGCGCGATTGTCGTGGGGCTCTGGTGCACGCACCCCTGCCCGTGTGCGCGGCCATCGCTCATGCAGCTCATGAATGTCTTGCAGTCCAAGGATGTCACGCTGCCAACCCTGTCACGGCCGAGATCCGGCGTCTCCCTTGGAATGCACGGAGACAATGCATTGTCATCAGCCAATGTTTGCAGCGGGTGTCTTGGGCAATAAATGGCAGATGACCAAATTTACTTTTTACTTTACTTTAGAGTTTGTGATATAACGAAGGGTCACTAACAAAAGAAGCTTCGCCGCCTCCTGAAACTGGTGCCATCGTCTTGCTATATGGTCATTTAGGGTTGATGTTCTTGCAGTTCTCATGTTCCAGTTTTTCAGTAATGTCGTGAGTGAGACGTGGCAGAGTTGTACATATAAGTGTATGTATCGATGTGTGTACTACTACTACCACGCAACCCCCTCCTGGTCGCGTCCTAGAGGCGTGTGGGCAATGGGGGTGGGAGGCTCCTGGGTCCATCGGCCAATGCTTTGGCTAGAGTTACGTTAAGAAACTTACAAATTATAGTTACGGGCCTCATCTTATTGGGTCACGTTGGGCCCCCCACTGGAAATCAGGGAGGGAGAGTTTAGCTGGGGGAGGACACGTATGTCCGTACGACGAGTCCGTAGCGAGTAGTCCGTAAGTGTAGGATTTTTGGCCTCCGACTCCATCTTGTGCCGAAACTTCCTGAAATAATTTTCTCTGTTTCTCTGGTCCTTGGAAATTTGTTTTATCTGAAAAGTCCAAAAATAGAAAGGAAAATTTTCATGTGACACTGAATTATAATTATATCATTGAATAAGAAAACTATATATAGATACATCTAGAAGGTATCAGCCAGCCAGCATTTGAAAATTTGTACACTATACATTTACTCTCAGGCCTTGGCACACCAGCAACAGGCTATTTCCTTATGTTTGACCCTTCATGCCCGTGCAACAATGGGCTTCAAGCTCCACCACTGATTGTCGGTAACACATATGGACATTATTGGTAACTCTAACAGTACCGCATGATAACTTTCGACCGAAAAGACCATTGAAATGTTGCAAAAAAAATCATTTTTCATGCCCGGTAGCTTGTGCGTGAAGAGCTTGGTAACTTGCATAGCTTGTTATCATTTGACCCCAAGAAAAGTCGTATGTACTCCCTCCGTTCCTAAATAGTTGTTTTTTTAGAGATTTCAAATGAACTACCACATATGGATGTATATACACATATTTTAGAGTGTAGATTCACTCATTTTGCTTCGTATGTAGTCACTTGTTGAAATCTCTAAAAGGCAAATATTTAGAAACGGAGGGAGTACATACTAACTTTTGTCACGAGGTATTTAATGGTAAAAATGGATTAAGAATCAGGAAACAGTTTACATTTTTGAAATAGGATTAAATCTTGCTGACATCAGCGGCTTTGTCTTCTTTTGGGAGTATAGGCGCAAAATCCTTCGGCACTTCCCCTATTCTCACAACAGTCGTTATATATAGCAAGCTCCCCATATAAATAGCATCACTGTTATTGAAGATTTACAGTTGATGATTGATGTCTGATTGTCTATCTAGTTCCTCCCACTTGAGCAGACTGGAAACTGGAGGAAGGGACGTGCGGCCGTGCGTGACAAGTCAGCTTGACTAGGCAAGGAAGGGACGACTGCGAGTCGTCGCCCGCGTCCCCGCCGGAGACTTGCGCTAGCTGGCAGACAGTAACTGTAACCGCGTTGATATCGATCATTTGTGACATTTCTCCCATGCACCTTCGTTGATGGATGCTTCCCTGGCCCAACCGTACTGTGATTGAAATTTTCAATAGCTTGCATGACTTAACAGCACACCTGGAAGCAGTCACGTACGTACTTCCATGGCCAGCTGGAGTAGACTGACGGAGTACACTGTCTTATAGTAGTGAAGTCATGTGCTACCGTCTAGTATACCAGTGGCTTGCATCAGTATCATTGGAATATTCAGGCCGTGATGTTGCCTGGTTTGAACAACTTTTGTTGGCTACTCCAGTGTAATTGGAATATTCATTCATTCATTCACCGTTTACTTTGAGAGAGTATCCGGTGACACGGGAGGCTAGGTGCTCCCATGATACGAGATGACGCGACCCATTGGATCTGAAATCCAAAAGTTAGACCATAAGCTCCTGAATTTTTTTAGAAAAGACCTCCAGAAATCTGATGTTCACGTGCAAGTCTTGGAGCTCGTCCTGTGACCCTTGGATTTCATATCCAACAACCCACGTCGTCTCATATTATGTGATGCATGGGAGCACGTAACCTTCGGTATCACCTCCTACTTTCTCCCCTTAGGCTGGTTGTAATTGTAGTGTCATATCTAGTATCATGCATACTAACTAGGCAATTTTAATGAGATGTCATAAAATTAAATAAAGAAAGAGAGAATTGAGTATCATATCATAATACCGTTTAAATGTTATGCTACTATGTGTCATGCATGACAATAAGTAAAGTACTACATACATGATACTACTAACATATGGTACTGTGAATTAAGCAGGTAGTATCATACACTAGTATCATATGCACGATACTAGTATATGATACTCTACAGGCTTACTTTTCTCACATCCAAGTCATCATCGGCCGCCGGCTGGATGAGACAGGATTTTCAGCATCCGGGTGCCCTACCCCCTCTATGAACAGTAAATTCAAAACAAATTCAAAAACAATCAAAAAAATCTGAAACTTTGGGACATCAAACATCATGAAACTTTTGATGATCTTGCAAAGTTTTAGCTAAAAATAACATTCGAAGAGCACTCAAATAAAAAAAAACAAAATCATTGTTCAAAGTTTATGTACATTTTTTAGCAATGATTTTGTTTTTTCTGTGAGGGCTCCACGAAGATTATTTGTTGTTGAAACTTTGCAGGAACATCAAACCTTTTATAATCTTTGATCCCTGAAAGTTTCAGATTTTTTTGATAGTTTTTTAATGTTTTATGAATTTACTGTTGATGAGGGTGTAGTGGCATTTGGGAGCTGTTAGACATTTCTCTCGGCTGGATTGGGTCATTACATATTACTACTACTTAAACAACTCGTACCCAGAGCATGCCGTCCCCAGCGACGCGCGCAGCAACGCAAGCAAGCCCTCCACCCACTCCATGCCGTCCCACAGATCAGCAGCTGCTTCTCTACTGGCAGTATGGCTCTGCCTCGGCGTAGCACTGCTTGGAGTTGGAGCAGCACCGCCGGCACCGCCTAGGCCTAGCAGCAGGTGCCAGAGAGAATGCGGCGGCGTAGACATCCCTTACCCGTTCGGCATCGTCGGGCCCGGGCCCGAATCGCCCGATCCCGACAACTGTGCCATGCCTGGCTTCGGCCTGACCTGCAACGAGACCGGGGTTAATGGTGGCCGCACGCCATTTTATTATGACCTGGAGGTCGTCGACGTCTCGCTGCAACAGGGTCAGGCCCGGATGAAGATGAGCATCTCCACCTACTGCTACAACAACGCCACCCAGGGCATGGACCCCGTCCCGTGGGGGCTCGACCTCACGGGCACGCCCTACAGGTTCGCCGACACCAACAAGTTCACCGTCATCGGCTGCCAAACGCTGGCCTACATCGAGGGCGCGCACACCCACGAGTACACAAGCGGCTGCGTGGCCATGTGCCGAGCAGAAAGCGACGGCGATGCGAGGTCGGCCCTCAGCAACGGCTCCTGCTCCGGGATAGGGTGCTGCCAGACCGCCATTCCCAGGGGGCTGGACTACTATCGAGTGTCATTCGACTCCGGCTTCAACACCGCGGAGATCCACGACGTCAGCCCCTGCAGCTACGCCGTGCTCATGGACGTGTCCAACTTCACCTTCCAAACGACCTACGCGACCTTGCCGGGGTTCAACACCACCTACGGCGGAGTGGCGCCGCTGGTGGTGGACTGGGTTGTCGGAAACCAGACGTGCGACGCGGCGCGCAAGAATTCCTCGTCCTACGCCTGCGTCAGTGACCACAGCGAGTGCTTGGACTCGCTCAATGGACCAGGCTACATCTGCAACTGCTCCAAGGGCTTCCAAGGCAATCCTTACCTGCAAGATCCGGAGCACGGATGCAAAGGTACGTAGAAACTCAAAACAACATGTATATGGATTTGCTAATACTCATCTAGTATATATCTATCTGTATGAGAATTAATAGAGTATCATCTACTTCTGTGCCATTTGATTTTACGCGTAGATTTCAGTGCATTTATCTTTCCATTTGATTGATTCTGTTTTCTATTTTTGGTTCCATTCTTTTTCACACTCCACACAACTATACTTACACGTCAGTCTAGAGTGCACAACTGCTTGCCCATCGGTCGTGCGCAATTGCCGTTAAACATCCATCAATTTATTTATGAGAAAAGTATATTTTTCATTCCTCAGTTTTCTCGATAGTTTAGAAATGGTTCCATAACTTCAAAACCGGCAAATCTTGGTCCCTCAATTTCTCAAATCAGATATGTTTGGTCCCTTATACCGCTTGTGTTTGTATCCTCTTGATGCTTCATTATGAGCTAATAAAATCCATCCTTTATCGAAAAAAGGTAGACACGGTTTTGACTAAAACTGACACTCGTTCATTGGGGTTTGACTGCCACGTCACGGAGCTGCACCGCACGCTATGTAAGTGCTCGGTGGCCTGGCTCGCGGGATGCTGAGCTTTAGCCATGCTCGCCGTCCAGGTTATGCGGCCGGCAGGGTTGCAGGCGCCGTGGCGGTCATGGTTGACGCTCACTTGAAAAGCTAGCTAACTGATCGATCTAGCTGCCGGCTACGCACGCACGTACAGTACATGACGTTGTTTCCTTGGATCAGCTCCGGCTAGAACACGCGAGTAATACAGGCACGCGAGTCATGGGTTGTTCGTGTTCATGGTGCATGGAGTGGCGGTTGAGCCACGGTGATGGCCCTCGACGCGCTTGCTGGAGGAGGAGAAGGCCCAGAGTTGGGTGTGTACGTCAACCCCGACCACATCGGGGCCCCAGGACAAGTACCGCGCCACCATCGAGCATCGGCGACAAGGACGGTCCCAGCCGCTGAGTAGGTACGCCTGCTTCTCCATGCGCTACACGACGGCGGACATCGGCCCGACAATGACGGTGATGGTCATGCTACCCTCCTGACATGGCATTGAAGTGGACAGTGATGTGGCAGTCAAACCCGAATGACGTGTCAAGTTTTTTCACCAAAACCGTGTCCACGTCAGACCAAAACCACCCGAAGCGGTATGAGGGACCAAACTTATCTAGTTTGAGAAGTTAATGGACCAATGTTTACTGGTTTTGAAGTTGAGGAACCATTTCTATACTTTGAAGAGAATTGAGGGACGAAAAATATACTTATCCCTTTATTTATTTATTTGATTTATTTGTCTTTTTTCATGACGCACGCAACTACACTTGCACGTCCGTCAGACCACGTGCAACCGCACTTGCACACACATGCATCTGCGTGCAACTATAGCTGCACATCTGCCGAACGGTGTGCAACTGCTCGTCTGATGTGCGCAACTGCATATCCATTAGCCGCGCGCAACCACGGTTGGGCATCCACCAAATGTGTGCAACTATGTTTACTTTTTTTAAGAAGTACAATAATAATATCGAGACACAAAAATAAGTGAAAGAAGAAGAGAAAAGGGAACATCAACAAAATCCCGTGTTTATGCCACATAGATGAGATTTAGTTAATTCTTGTCTAAAAGAGAGCTAGCCACGCACCTTGCAAATTCTCATCTAGATAAAAAATTAACAGTCTTATCTTATCAATCAGATCTAGCAAGCTAAGATTAATTACACATGTAAGTGAAAAATCCTTACTCAATCTTGTAGAAGTATACCGGTGAAAGGGAAGTTAATTTTTTTTTCTTTACAGAAAATAAGAGAGCTTTGCGTTGTTTCCTATCACTTTTTGTACCTACACTAACTAGATGATTGGCAATAAAAAATAATTAATTTGATCTTTGGTGGCAGATATTAACGAGTGCACGGACCTGGAGAAATACCCTTGCAATGTGCCTGGGACTTGCCAAAATTTTCTTGGCGGATTCCACTGTCATTGTCCCAAGCATACCAAAGGCGACGCCCAAAATGGGACGTGCGAGGCAAACCACACATTTGGTCTTGGAGAAAAACTCGGTATTGGTGCGTCCACATCTCTGATATATGTCTACTACAATCTATGTACACAATATATCAACATTATACCAGAGCAGTGTCTTTAATTTAATCTTAGTGCAATTAATTCCGTCTTTTAGTTAAATAAAAAAACATGTTATCTTTCTCCCAAATGAGAAATGACGACTAACCGTGGCATCTACTCTTCAGGAGCCTTTGGCGTCGTTTTGGTTGGCCTGGTTTGTATCCTCGCAGTAGAAATCATCCGTCACAAAAGGAGTATCAAAAGACAAGCTCTGATTAGACAGAGTGACGAATACTTTCAACAGCACGGAGGCCAGATACTGTCAGAAATGATGGGGGTAGAGCGTAACATCGGGTTCACCGTCTATGCCAGAGGAGCGATCGAGGCGGCAACAAACGGGTTCGACAAGGAGAACATCATCGGGGAAGGAGGGCAGGGGACCGTGTACAAGGCGGTCCTCGACGTCGAAGGCAAGGACACACTTGTGGCAGTAAAAAGATGCAAGGAGGTGGACGAGAGCAAGAGGAAGGACTTCGTGCAGGAGTTGGTGATACTCGGCCGCGTCGACCATCCCAACATCGTCAAGCTCCTCGGTTGCTGCCTGCAGTTCGAGGTGCCTATCTTGGTCTACGAGTACGTGCAGAACAAAACCCTGCTGGAGCTACTGCACAGCCAGCTGACCTCGTGCCGCGCCATGCTGGGGACCCGTCTGAGGATCGCCGCGCAGGCCGCTAGAGCGCTGGCGTACCTGCACTCGCTGGCGCACCCGATACTCCACGGCGACGTGAAGCCCGCCAACATCCTGCTCGGTGACGGCTGGGTCGCCAAGGTGTCTGACTTTGGCTGCTCCACCATCGATGAGAAAACCCAGGTGGTGGCCAGAGGCACACCAGGCTATGTTGACCCAGAGTACCTGCTTGAGTACCAGCTCACGGACAAGAACGACGTCTACAGCTTTGGTGTCCTCCTCCTGGAGCTCCTAACCGGGAAGAAGCCATTGTCTAAACAACGGAAGAGCCTCGCGGCCATAGTCCAGGAGTCTATGGGGGATGGCACGCTCCATCAACTCTTTGACCAGGAAATAGTCAATGATGCTAGCATCGGAGTGGCCGTTCAGGCTGTGGAGCTGGCAACTCGATGCTTAGTTATGCCGGGGAATAGGAGGCCGGCGATGAGGTGCATTGCTGAGGAGCTCCAACAATTGGCAGACCAAGTGCAGCAGCCGTTGGTTTCGGAGTGTCATAGCCTCACTATCAAAGATATGGAGAGCTCCATGTCATCTGAGAGTGACACCACCAGGGTTTTCAGCCTTGAGAAGAAAGTCGTGTTGAGCATAGAATTCGCTAGATGATATCGTCAGAAACATATTAGAAACGGTTTGCTAGCTATACGATCCATGGTTGTATCACGTTTGTTGGTCGTTGCTATGAAATCCACCTTAAGCTTAGCACCGAATAATTTACGTGTTTATAAGCACTCAGTTGACCTCCTACGTATGTAAAGCAGGTTTGCAACAATTTTAATTTGTTACTGTTTAAATATATTATCTGCCCTCTCTTCATCAGCTCATATGTTTGGATGACCTGATTGGAGCATGAATTCAATATCCAATTAGCGCCAATAGGTCTCCAGTTTAAGACCATGTTAACATCGTAATAAGAAAATGATCATGCGGCCTACATCGATCTCACATCTAACGACTGAAAAAAGGCCTAGATATGAGGGCGGTGCTGACATCTATTGTTTGTCTCTCTCCATCAGCTCAAACTTTTGGATGAGCTAACTGGAGTGTGAATTCAATAGTTGCACTATTTGGTGGTACATTAACCAGAATCTTGTCAACTACAACATGTACTCCTTCCGGGCAGGTTTAGAAGGGACGATTCAAAATTTGCTTTGAACGAAGGTTTGTCTCATATCCCCAAATCTTGACTGTAATAATGAGCCGGTGGGTACAACTCAGGGTGGACACGGTCCGGGCCGGTCCGGGCCCTGACCGAGCCTCTATTTTGACCGGCCGCCGGCGAGCCGGACCGGACCGGACCGACCAGCTGGCCGGTCTTGATTTCTGGGACCGGACCGCCTGCGCTCAAGCCCGGGCCGGACCGAGAGGACCGGCCGTGGTCACCACCGTTGAGGGTAGAGCATGGACTGGGGCTTGCTGGATGGACCAGGAAGAGGGACAGGGGACTCCGTGGTCGAGATCGGCGATGATGCACACCGGCAGAGACGAGATGTGGCGGCGCGCATGACTGTTAGCCATGAACCCGTGCATTTTCTTCCTTAGCAGTTTTTTCTCTTGCATGCAAGTAATGTAATGGGTGCATGAGCCCACTATTGGCTGTCTGCGGGCCTTGCCGTGATTATTGGAACAAATTTAACGTGGAGTTAATCATGGGATGGCGCCATAATTATCGGATCTAACCATGTTTCCCACTTTCCCTCGTTCTTTCTATTTTAAGCAGTGCTATACATATATTTCAACGAACAATTTTGATGTAAACTTTATGTATGTAGTTAAATTTGATTGCAGTTCACTAAAATCGTGGGGCTGTCACACTCCAAACAAAACTTGCACGTACAGATTTGGTAAAGCCTCTTATGTAGGAATAGATGTTTCCTTCAGTTTTCTGTTCGATTGAATAAAGGGAAACATCAGCGAGGGATGGCGCGTGATAATCGGATCAAACTTTTTAGTCGCGAATAAAAGGAAACGGCAGCGTGGAGTAAATCGTGCGATGGTGCCGTGATTATCGGATCAAATCCCATTTCTCTCGTTCTTTCTCTTTTCTGTTTAACTGAACTAGTAAGCTTGCACCTGCAACGCACGTCTAGACTAATACTATATCAAATATTTATAGTTCAAAAAAGCAATCTATGCATTGTTTGACCATTTATACAAAAATGAAGAGATGATTTGATGAGTGGGTAAAAAGGGATCTTCAAACATCAAACAAGGTTTCCGAGTCAACCAAAACAAAAATTCAGAAACTAAGATAACATCATCCATTAGCTGCCATAAACATCTCATCACTTATCCGCTTTCTCCACGTCTGCAGCCTTCTTCATCTGGGCTCCCAACAGGTGTTGGTTCATCATCTCAACACGGAGCTTGCCGTATGCATGTGCTTCTCGCTGCCACCGTGAGTGATGGGCATGTGGTCGCCCTGGACCTCTGGATGGCTGCAGCAAGGCGGTGTTAGGATCAAATCACCATCCTTGAAGCAACAGAGGTGTAAACACGGAGAAAAAGAAACATATCCCATAGTTGCAAGCACACCTTAGGAAAATAAAGCTTGCCAAGTTGGCCTTGTATCTCGAGCCTGTGGACATTAGATTGCATAACCTCGAGTTACATGTTCTTCTGGCGGTGGTCCATGAAAATGCCAATGGTCGGAACAAGTTTCTTTGGGATGCCCATGACCTACATTTACAGTATGTAAACATCAACAAATAATAAAAGAAATCTGTATAATAAGCCGGTGTCTCTACATATAATCTCATGTGGCATCCTAACCAAAAGTCTGAAATCTGCCATTCTGCAAACTGAAGTTTTTGCATATTATCTAGACATACCAAGTTCAGTGTTGTAAGTTTAGAAAGACACTGCAGAAAAATTTCAGAACTACTGTCAGTTATTTTCATCGAGGCTATTTTTTTGGCTTTATCATTTACCACGTTCCCATGGGCTGGAAATATTCAAAAGGATACAATTTTACAAGAACATCAACGGATAATCAGATAAATCATTCTCTGAAGTTCGCATGACAGAAATGCCAATTTCTAACCTAGTTGGAAAAAACTGTGTATGGTGTATGATACGCCCACCTAAATATAATAGATCAGCATCGTTATGTCTAATATTTCTGTGCTTTTATATATTAGTTTTTCAAATTGAACTTTTAAGAGGAGAAATATTTCATGGACAGTTAAAATCCCGTGGCATTAGAACTGCATTTGCTCGATCCTTGAGTGGATATCTTCGTTTTTACCTCTTTACCATCCTAACTAAATACAAATATTTAGTGGGGGTACTTAGAGAAACAGGCAGAAAATAGGAAGTAAATTATACTCCCAACAAAAGAAAAGGAGAAGATAAGAGTAATCTGGACGTGGCATCAATAGCATACCTGGAAAGTAGAGCTGCAGCTGTTTGAGACTGACTAACCATTTTGCATTGAGGTTTGAAAATACATCACCTCAATATTTGAGAAAGGGAACTTATAAACCTCTGAACCTGGAACAGATGTTTCATTAAGATTTAACAATAAAGGCTTGGATCAAATCCTTTAGATAACTTGCTATGCTGCTGTTGTATTTGTTGTTTACTGTCTCTTCTTAGTTTTGTTTGTATCTTTGATGTATAGTATTTTTTTTATTTTTTCAGACCTTATTCTTTGTACTATATATTTTTAAAAAATAATAAAAATACGCAGCAGAGTCATGCTGTTTCCCTCAAAAAAAAAGATTTAACAATAACAGCAGAAACCCTGCACCAAAGAAACAATTCCAATGCAATGAGATAAACAATTCCGATGCACCTGTTCATATGAAGGTGATTGAGTAGATAGACTAACATAGACAACAGCAAGCATACCTCTCCTCATTCTGCACTTTGGAGCCTGGTTACCTTTGGAGGCAATATATGCATCAATTCAGGATCCTCCACTATCTAAACCTGGTACTTTCAAATCACATTGCAGCTTTGCGTTGAAGGAACAACTTTGCACATTCTGTTACATCCACGTGAAGTTGCATTACAGAAAAAATTAGACACTGAAAACAGTATCACCGTTGACTCGAGATGTTAAGATGCACGTACAGTCAGTGATGCTACAGAAAGACAACAAGAAGAAGGAACTATATCTATATAATAAATAATCAACAGAATCAATTTGGCATCAGAGAAAATAGTAACACTAAATCTCGAGATAATGTGTGAGCTAAAAGAGACTGGTTCCACAAAAATTGTGGTTTAATCAGAACAATCTATTTGGTAATAGCAGTCTCACCCAAGCTGGTCTTGCGATGCAAGAACATAAAAAAAATCAGTTATTTTCTACATCAGGCTAATACAAGAGAAAAATACACGCATAATCAATGGGGACAGATTGATGATATGTCATAAGCACATAGCTGAACCTAGCTAATCTGCATAACAATGATAAGTTATTTATTTCATCCTATTAAGGCCAAATGCAGGGCTTATCGCTCCTGATTATGCATACATAACAGGGAGCTATCATTTTAGATTTGGAATAAACATTTGGTAGGCTTGTCATCCTTACCACGCACTTCAACAGATACCATGCATTTCAACAGATAATAGTAAGAAACCAAAGCATCATTGAATTATTTGATCTATTAAAAGTAAGGAATGCTCCTCTCTGCGTTTGGAAGGATACGATAGGATTTCTTGCCTCGAGTGATAACCTCAACCTCTTGTTGCTACCTCTCTGTTGGACTGATGATGTTCCTTGTATTTGCAATGCAACTGCTCAATGCTTCCTAAACCATAAGACAATGGAAAAGAATAAAAATCAAATGGTATGGACAGACAAATCAGAGAATAAATTGGGAGGGAACATATATGTATAAGCACATACATGACAGTGGTTTTAGTGAGTTCAATGTTCAACTCCTTGACCCTATCAATCTGGTTTGAGACCATTTGTTTTATGTAGAACAGATGATCCTTGATTTATTTGCCCCCCTCATAACAGGTTTTACTATCCAGTTGACCTTCAGCAATAGTTTTGAATATTATAAGCATTGGTCTGATATGCTATCTTGGTTGACTTGGCTAAACCACAAAGACTTATTTATTACTAATGTCATGTAAGCAATCCAACTTCAGAATAGATCGTTTTCATGTAAGCACAAGAAATCTCATCTTTGGTCGTCACAAATCGGTGTCACCTTAGATGATTATTCCTGCACCAAAAGAGCACCTAACAAAAGGTGCTAAACCAAAACTGATGTTTTGAATTGTGAGCGAATTAACAGTAAGGCTATTGGATGTGGATACCAAAATAATGAATTAAATAAGTGGAACTTTAGAGAAACTACCACTTTTAAAAAACGAGATCTGTTCTATTGATCAAATCAATAGGTTATTTTGAACTGAAAAGGCCCACAAAGATGCTAATAATCCTAGAGAGTTAGAAGACCAAAAATTATTTAACCCACTATGATAATACAGAGTAGTTAGCAAGAAGTATATACATACTATTTTACAAATAAGGTATATACAACAATTATCAGAGTATATACTACCATATGGAGTATATACATATAATACTGGCAATACGGTTAGTAGTTTCTTGATTGTCACAAAGAAGTATACTACTA